AAGTTTGTAAAAAATGTTTATGTGGTTGCAAACTCTAATTTTTCAAGTCTGGGACTAATAATTGGTCAAGCCTATACTAGATGTTTGTGGTGCAAAGGCCATTAGCAGAATTTCGCACCGCTACGATCTCCCAAATATTAAGTCTCATAAGTTCCGTGAAAAAACCCATTAGTCCCCACCGGAGCCCCATTTCAGATTTTTAATGCGCCCGCTTAAATGCCTCCGCCGTCGCAGCACTGGTGCCCGACACAATATCGCGATATTAAAATAACTCTTCAAAGGGCTGCGGCCGGCTGTATTAAAACTTAATAGCCCTCTGGCCCCTTCTTACAGCATGCTGCCATAATTGCATTCTACGTAGTGTCGATATTCTTTTCGAGAAGACGAGAAATGAAATAGATTTCGCAAAGAAACCTACGGTTCCACTCCGAAGCCATAATGAGAGGGCACAAAATTTGTCCACTGCGATAAGGACAGGATTTTCGTTTTTCCATCTTACTTTCCCATTTCTGCGCCATTAGATCGTAACCCTATAAGAAATCAGCAATAAAATAAAATGATTCCGTTCAAAAATAGACCTTAGGAATGCTAAACTTGCTCTCGCAGTTACCTGCAAAAGCTGCAAAATGCACCAGAGACGGTAGTAACTGTTCCAACCTACATTTATGCGCTAATAAAATTCAGACACTCGTACTCGTTCGTCAGGAGGGTCTTTCTTCTTTATAAAATACAAAGAAAATGTGTTTTGAAATGTGCGCTGATGGCACGTTATGCTTATAGAAAGGTTGCTATCCCGATGACGGCATTTCCCAGATGGACTGTTTATCCTGATATCAGCTTTGAAATATGCGGCAAATGGACAAGGATTTATGGCGACTTTCCATCAAAAAACCGTCTATAAATCGCGCCTTTGTTGTTTGGAGCCCTGGAGTCCTGCCGACATCGTAATGAGCGAAACACTAAAGTAATTAGGAAAATTTGCCGGCATGGATTTCCATCCTATTAAAAATCCATCAGCTGAAAACTTGCCAGAATAAATCAGGAACTTTGGCCCGCTTTGTAAGTTACACTACTGCATCCCCCCAACTTCTTGTAATTCGAACCGGCCTGATATTCGAGCTACGCGGAAACCTGTTCTCGTTTTATTAGACGACAACGGAAGAATGACAAATTTCCCCGCTTCAACAAATAACCGCATTTTTCATTGGGCTCTAATTTATACTCTGGGGCTTTTGGAATCTATACTTTGAGTATATTGGATTTCTTATTTAAAAACGTGACTGCGGCTTCGTCTACCGCACCAAACTCGCTGAATCTCGAAAGTTTGCGGCTTCGAATTCATCATGGAGAATGCCAGCGAATTTCTTCGCATGCAGCTTGTACAAAGATGCTCACATTGTTTTTAAGTAATCTGCACTGTTTTTGTCAGTCATCCAAAGAGGCTTTTTAATAATTCAATATAATCTAGAAAAAGGACCTCCTTCTTTTCTCGAAAATATTCCATTACACCGGGCTTGCGATTTTCCTTGTAATCTAGTGCCTCAAATGTTAACTAAGATAACAGATTTTGCCCCGATCTATATTTGGATGAGCAAGAGATTCTTCATGGCTGAGGGATAAATTACCCAGATTTTGAATTTTTAATTTAGGGATAATTTACGAATAGCGGAAAATTTAGATTTCCTTTCTAAGAAACATGAGGCGAGATCGTCTTCGTTTGAGCAAAAGCAAAAGAATGTCGCAGAACGATTTTGACGAATTTTTGTCCAACAAAGCAAGAATTAAATAACACATTTTATTGCTGAAACGAATACGAATAGATTATTTGTCAAAAAAATTTAGTTTCTTTTGATATCCATGTCAAGCACTATTTGAGAGCGCATTTTTAATCCACTTTTACTCCCGATTTTCATTTTTATTATTTATTTTCACGTTTAACTTGAGTGGTGATAAGTTCTATATTGTTGAGGCGGATTCATTTTTTACAAACTTCTTTTTGGGTATTTCGCCTCAAAAATTTTTGTACTTTAAAAAAGACAGAATTTCCTCACGT